AGCTCACCCAGTCTTTCTCTTTCTCCATCTGCCTGAAAATCGCTCCTCGCCTGGGCTGCAGCTCCCCCCGACCCAGTTTCCGTGATGTGTTTGACCCGTGGCACAGTATGTGTGAGCTGGCCGGCTTGATCAGACTGACAGTTGGCTGTCAGCGGTTGGTGAGGCGAGACCGCCGGCTGGCTGATCAACCGAGGCGGCTGTGGAGTTGACGGTGGAGCGCTCCTCGCCTGGGCTGCAGCTACCCCCGACCCAGGTTCGGCGATGTGTTCGACCCCTGGCGCTTGCCCAAGAGACTGGGTATTGGATGACAGCTGTTGCTCAGAACTTTGGTGGATGATCAAGCGAGAGCCTAGGAGCTGAGGAGACAGAGCACCCGGCTGGCTGACGGGTCGAGACCCAGGGGGATGTGCTGTGGCACAGGCAGATGACACTGCAACTGGATGGCTGATCGACCGAGGCGGCTGAGGAGTTGGACGTCTGGTACCACCAGCGCGCGCGCTCTCTGGCCAGACGGAACGGGGGGTGTGTAGAGGAGCTGGACCGCCTGGAGGGTGTGTTAAGGAAGAAAATATTCTAAAATAGTTAACTTTGGAAAAAGGTTGGCTTTTCATTCTTCCTTTCCCAGGTCCACTCGGCGAGCTGCGTGTGGTCACAATGAAAACCAGCAAGGCGTGTTGACGTCACAGAATTACAGAGTTTAATCCAAAATAAGACAATGCATAAACTTAGAAATAAGACAATGCACAAACCTACACCAGAGACATACATTCATTCATTAGCTCATCTTTAATGCTGCTAATACACCGTAAACCATTTAATGTATTTTGATTTAACTTCAATAACCTCTTTTTCTGAAAAGTAAAGAGAGATACAAACTAAAAATTTGCTTATTAGATCAATTCCATTCACGTCCCCCTGTTTCTATAACAGAACAAATGTTCTGTCATAGAATACAATAAAAATCCTACACAACTCATTGAGATGAAATCCGCTATCACCACTAACTTTAGCCTCATGTAACACAGTTGGATGCAATTCAAACATGGTGTCCCAGATGCTGTTACAATCTGCACACCTCAATCAAAGAATTTAATGTTTGATTAAATTTATGAAATCAACACAGAACTTGGTGTCATTANCATGATTAGTGCTCGAATCACTCTTTCATTTAATTTTCTAACACACAGTTAGAAGGACTGTGTGTCATAAACAGTATATAACAGCTGAAATAATATCTGATTAAATAAGATATTTTACCACCCCTACAGGGGAGGGCAATAAACATCTTAAAGTATCAGAAACATAAATTCCCAGCGGGCTGGGAATAGAATTTAACTATAGAATCACAACAGAAGCAGTCTCCTGATCCTGGAGAAAAGCATCAACCAGCCTCTTCATGCTCTCAAAATTGACATTTTCAGAAGCCTGCATGTTTCGTGTTATGCCTTTTGCTTTCAAAACCACTTTTTTTCTGATGGGTCTGATAAGCATAACTCTTTGGACCTGTGGACACAAAATGTTCTATGCTATCCCTGTTTAACTCATCGCTTAATTGCCCCAAATAATTCCCCGTTTCCAGCAGAGTCTGACCCTTTTTGGTAATGTAGATTATACTGTCTGTGTCAAAATACAAAACTCTGTCTTGCAGCTTTTGAAGGTAACTCAACAGTTTTAATCTAGCATAGGCCGTAGTGAACACTGCGATAAAGACGTTGTTTGTTCTGTTTGGGGGACTAATAGATTTTTTTGTCCATTCCCATTGAACAAGCACGTTTTCAGGATTCAAAAAGTGAAAATATTTTACATGTTTGTTCCCTGAAAACAACAGTTCAAAAAATTCCTGCGGTTCTGATAAGATGTTGGTCTGGGTCTGATCATTTTTCTGAGCAAACTTTCCCCAAAGACTGTTGAGACATAACTTTGCCACTTGTCTTTTTGCCGGATTTGTCTCAATTTTTGAATATTCTAGTTGAATAACTTCATTCTTCAGGAAATCTGCCATGTAATGCTGTTTCCCCTCTTCATTGCTCACGTCGGCGGGAAAACCTGATGATTCCTGTTTGCACTTTAGAAAAGTATTTATATATTGGTCAAAAATGTCATTACTTTGTTTTTCAAAATGCCATACAGCGATGATCTTTTCAACCCTACATCCATGCTGTAAGGCCTTATTAAGCTTGACAGAAACCCAGGTTCCCTTTAGGGATCTTTCTTCTTCATTGTGATTGCAAGGTTTTTTCTGGTTATTGAGTTGAGCGCAGGAGCGGCACAGAGTGAAAACCAATTTACCTTTTTCGGTCTTAAAGGGAAGAATTGGAAAGAGCAGACCTCGTGGTGGGGAAACGCTAGCTTTGACGAACCCGAAATAGTTGGCACGATCATCAAAGTTGTCGTAAATGATCTTTGGATGCCCTACAGGGAAGTAGTGCGTTTTCATAACAGAGGGATATAACGAGATGACGTCTGGGCAAGCCACATTCTCATCTGCAGCGGCAGAATA